TCCTAAATTAGGAGTTAGAGTTGTATACACTTGTACTCTTTGCTGCATTGCATCTGCAGCTTTTATGTATTACTTGACTGTATTATACTTCATTCCTGATTCCTCATTGTTCTGACTATTGGAACTGAATAAGTGATGAACTTTATAGGTCTTTTTAGGAAATGGAGTGGCATAGTTCTTAAATAAAAGAATACCGTATTTTTCGCTCTATAAGATGCACTTTTTTCTCCCTCAAAACTAAGGGGAAATTCTGTGCATCTTATAGAGCAAATGTGTGTGTGCCCGACGCCCGGGACGCTGCTGCCCGCCTGCACCACGTGGCACCACCTGGCCGGCACGTGCTCGGCGCACCCTGCTCCACCCCCCCCCCGGCGCAGTTGAGAACTGTGCCACTCAGGGGGAGCAGTGCAGAGGAGGAGGAGCCGCGGGCTTTAACCCGCCAGCTGCACGGAGAGACGGACTGCTCACCCCCACCTCCCGGGAACTGCTCATCCCTGCCGCCTGGGAAGACCTGCCGCCGCTGCCGCCACCCGGAAGACCACCGCCGGCATGCTGCCGGCCCCACGTGGCACCACCTGGCCGGCACGTGCTCAGCGTGCCCTCCTCCGCCCTCCTCCTCCGGCGCAGGTGAGAGCTGTTAATCACAGGTCGGTGTGTGTTTTCAAATGGCAACCCGTCTTTTAATGAAGCCCATGGGGAAGTGATGTGGAATGTGCCTGTGTTTATCAGGAAGTTTTCCATGGATCAGTTATCTGTTAGTTGATCAGACACATTTTTTTTAGGATCAGTGGATATTTGAACAGCATTACCTTCATGTATGAAGTTTATTCTTCAAAGGCTACTTAGTCCGCTGTGTGTTTCATTTACCGTACAATATCTCATTTTTTGTCAGAAGTTTTTTTCCATTATTTACTAGTAGGGCAGCGTGGATATTACTGGCTTTTTTAGATTTGTTATTGAATTGTCTGCAGCAGCTCTTGTATAACTGGTGTAGATTGTGGATTCCTTCAATAATTCCACTACTGACTAAGAAAGTGATGCCAGTGATTGTGAGCAACAGAGCT